AAAGGAGATTAAGGAAAAGGCAAGCAAGAAGGAAACTTCTTACTAAATTATTTTAATTTCTGCATTATTAAGTTAATTAACTTTTATGAACAAGCTTATTATTTATTAGCGGAAAGAACAGAAGGTAAAGAAGGTAAGAATGAAAGGCAGCTCTAATCTCTGAACAGTGAGAGTGAAATGCTGCACCATTTTACTTGATCTTCCTTTACTAGTGAGCAAGCAAAGCAAGGCTTCTTCACTTGAAGTCTTTCTTCCCTTCACCTTCAAAAGCTCACTACCACCTTACTTTTGCATCTAACAGAAATTATATAAAAGTGATACACAGAGAAACAAAAAAAAGGAAAATAGGTGTATTTTTAATAATTATTGAGAAAATAGATTTTTAATACAAGGAAAACCAACACACTTGATACCTTCACATGAGCAGCTAGAGTTCAGAGAGTAACAGGAGCCCCCTTTCAGCAAAAAGCAAAGCCAAAGAACATCCAAGTTGAAATGTTTTCAGAGTTCAAATAAACTTCTGGGATTTTAAGTATAAATCATTAGTAAATCCAATGTTACCTTAATATGGTAATAATGAAAAATACCATAAAGTACTAAAAAAACCTAGATTATACCAAGGTTCTAGCTATCCTGTAGGTGTTACTGCACAGACATGCCCTCATGCATGCGAAGTTGCATGGAAAAAATCTCCAAAGATTATTTAAGAAAAAACTATATATTCCAACTATGAAATTTATTTAGGAAGTTTTCGAAACAATTATTGTTTAACACTAAGAAAAAAACCTGCAGTCAGCACAAAGCAGCCTTGAGAGTGAAAACATTAAAGAGGAAAAAAAGTATTCAAGATTTTAAAAATCCCATTAGATACAAAAACCTGCAAGAGACTTAACAAGTCACAGGCAATCGAGAGAACTAAGGGAGTAACTGAAAGCACCCAAAAACGTATTAGCAGAAAATAATTCAGCAAGACAAGCTTCTGGATACAGAAACAACCAAGGACCTATGCAAACCCATTTCAGATTCTTGAAAATAATGCAAGAAAAAGGTCCAAGATGCTAAAAATGTAAATCTTTCATTAAAATAAACTACCACAGAAGGTGATAAGGTTGACAAACACTCTACCTCGTTTTATAAAAGAAGTAGTAGGACCAATTCTAGGAATCATAAATCTGCGCCTTGTTCCCAAAGCTACAAGTAAATTGACTAAAATAATTACAGTACTATAGAACTCCAAGGATGATAAAAATAAAGGTGAGTTAGCATCAGTATAGGGAAGTTATATCTTTCTTATTAGAATTTTTCAAAGATATAAATGTAACCACTTAGCTATGCATTTAACAAAAACTTCTTAATACAAGTTTTTTGACAAAGCCATTTAGAAAAATACATTGTCCAGGTGTACACACTTTTCACTTCCCAGAGTGAAGTGAAACTGCCCAAAAGAATGAAGCAATAACTTCACATGAAAGTCAAAGAATAACGGAACACAGGGGTCACCTGAAAACTTGTTAGTAAATGTCAACATTTGAAGATGCTGCAACATTAGTTACTGAAAACAGTGGAAGAAAGTGTAAGTGGAACGGTGCAAAGTGAAATTCAACATGGGCAGATATATGGCAATTACACTGAATTTTCAACCACTGCTCTTCAGGAAAAGGAAACTCCAATTTTAACTTAGTTCTAAAAAAAGCAGTATTGGCCACTACCTAGTTAGTTTTGTGGGAAAAAAAAAATTATTAAAATAATCCATGAGAACCACTGATAATTGATATATCAAAAGTGAGATAAAAAACGCGAGAAAAAAATGCTATGGTATTTGTGATCATGATACACATGTGATTTGAGGAAAGCAATCAGAAAAAGATATTGTAAAAGCAGAAGGACTCCAAAGACAAGCAACCAGTGATTAATGACTTTGTATTTCTTTCACCTGAAACAAGTAAAAAAAGGACTTTAAAAAAAATATTTTTTATTAAAGATCGTCTATTTACAACCCCTCTGCCATGGGCAGGGACACACTCCACTAGACCAGGCTGCTGAAGGCCCTATCCAGCTGGCCCTTGAACACTTCCAGGGAGGGGCAGCCACAACATCAGAAAGAAATAAAAGGCGATATGACAGAAATAAGATTTAATTTATGGTCCATAAAAAAAAAAAAAGCATTCAATGTATGCTTTAACAACAACAAAAACCTCCAGAATTGTCAATAAATTGAGGAATAACATTAAAAATACAAGACACAACATAAAAATCACAAACCTGAGGAATGCATCAACATGAGACACTAGAAGTTTAAGTAAGACTCAGATAATTACACATAGATGTATGGAATGGAAAGTTACACAGGATATTTCAAAATCATGTTATAAGCCTTCATGTCAGGGCCATAAACAAATCATTACCTGATAGTAATTAAAAAGAAATGTGTCTTGCAGATACAACTATTCTCCAGGAAAATCCTCCAGGGTATTTTTCTACTGGCCAGTCAGAAGAAAACAAGAAAAAAATGTTTTCAAATTGCAATTTCCCTACTTCTCGCAGAGTTGATTCAGGTTTTTACAGATCATAAACTTTTTACATCATATTTAATTATACAAAAAACAAAAAATAAAATAATTTAAAAAACAAACAAATTAAAAAAACCAAAACAAACCCCCTCCCAAAAGCAGGTAATTTAACCTTTTTTGTTATTTACATAAATGAATTGTCCATCCTCAGAAATATTATGCATGATAAAGACCTTTTAAAATACTAAATGACTGCAAAATATTCAAGACTCAAAGACTAAGAAAGAAGGAAAAAAGTTACCCCACATTAACCCTATCCATTCAGTCTAGATATGGTGAAATGACACTAAACCTAGTTAGGTTAACAGAACCAAAGTAAAGGCTACTTGCTCTTTTTCTGCTGGGTGAGTCAGAAAAAAACCAGAAATTAAAATCATTGCTGATTTATTTCCAATTATGAAGCAGAAAAAGTTAAGTATTTTGCTATCAGTAAAAAGTAAACTAGAGAATTAGAAGATGTTAGACACAGCTTCGTTTGCTAAACACTAATTTTTGGCTCACTTCCCTAAACACACAGATTACAATTTACAGCCGCTATGAGCATTTAAACTTCATCAGAGCATCAAAAAAGTATAAATTATAAATTGTCCATCTCCTGAAATATGAACTGAAAAAAGACTGAAACTGACCTGCAGTTGTAACTAAAAAAGGCTCAGCAAAAAATATCCTACTGAACCCAGCAGTTATTTGAAAGCATACACTGAAAACAATAGCCAAGCAGCATTTTTTTTAGAAGACTTTATTTTAAATAATGAATTGGATCAAATGCAAGAGAGCAAACCATTAAAGCTGCCGTGGTGGAATTGTACACCTGGAACTTTCATCTATCATCTCTTCTCTGCCTTACTTCATATTGTCAGATTTTTCTTACTATCAATAGGTAGGTTTAAAGATTTGTTTGTGGAATATGTATTGCTATAAAAACTGAGATGGAATAACAACTCAGTCATCAATAAAATATAAAATACTTAATCAATAAAAATAGCAATAGATATTTAAAGCATATTATAAAAAATACAATTTTTTTCAAATTTTCTCAGAATAACAATTAAAAACTACATAGAAC